CTGGGACTGAACAAGCAATGTCTATGCTGCTCGACTTGCTATGTGGGAAGGTGGTTGGCGACTCGACAAGCCTGTATTAGCTCCTCTGTGGAAAATGCGGCTTAGTGCACACCGGTCGGGAGAAGCTCCTGAACCAGGGCTTCCCAGAGGCCATTATTCATGTGAATGCGCCCCGTTTACTCCCTCCCTCTAGAAACGGCATGGGTGATCCTGGTCCTATATTAGGAGGCTACCCAATTTAGGCAGATGAGCAAGGTGAACCTTTGAAAACAAACAGACAATGTCAAGAACTACCTAATGTGGTGGAGGACTCATGGCCCTTGGAGGGCATAGGCTGAGTTGAGCTTGGGGACAGCTATAGGAACAACCCTTTACTTCACCTTTTTAGCATGTTGGCACAATTGCTGATAGACAGCTACATGTTTTTCTTACTGATAGTCTGTTTGGGTACATCCTAATCTGTAGTTCTTCATTACCTGTGCTTGGGGGGTCTTGTAGCACCTGTCCTCTTTTGTCATTTTACCAATGGGGGGCCTCTAGGGAGATTTTTACTTTCTTTTTACAAAAACAGTGCAGATACTCTTGACATCTGTTTTTATATACCAAGCGTATGCCATGTCCTATATCATTTATGACTCATGTATTTCACACTGCACTTCAAAACTAAAGAATGTCAAAAATGTGCTTGGGTCCCAATACTAGTTGCTCAATAAGAAGACACCACATGCAAACTTGAAACTAACACAGTAATATAAAAAAGTACAAATCTTTATTTAGATCAACTAAAATCCCAAGTTACAAGAAATCGCAAAAGAAATTGAAAGCAGCTAGCATCAGAATTGTGTGCGAAACATGTACAAATGGCCTTAAATTTTAAATTCACTTTGAATCCTCACTTTGGTGAATAATCCTGATAATATAACAAGAATAATAGCATCCCAAACCAGGGCTTACTTAATAATGCTATACTTTTTTTTGTTCTTGTGCAGCCCTGCTCTATCATTCTGGTTACATTTTTGTTATGCATATTTTCTGAACACTAGTGTCATATATTAAATAATTTATTATTATAAAGTATTTATTATAACATTAAATTCTCTATTTTGTTTTTTTCTCTAGTATTGGGAATGGATGAGCATGGTTTGAATTTCAAGGATTTGCTAATTAAATGCATGCTGACTTACACCTATCCAGTTGAATGCCACACATAAATATGTTACTATTAAAAGGTCACGGTAGGCACTCAGACTACTTCGTCTCAATGACATTCCAACATGTGGCTTCTGTAAGTCAGGACGTATGGGCAGACTTTTGATTGGTCATTGTCAGTGATGCAACCCATGTCACTACCAATGCCCACAATGTGAGGGGTCACTCTGGAAAGGGGTGGGTCCATTAAAAAAGGGGGCTGGTCTGTCACCTCACAAGCAGCTTGGCCGGCTCCCAGCTAAAGAGCACACTGCACAATAATGAGCTTGCGCTGGGATAGTTTCCAGGTGTCGCCAGATGCGGGGCACCAGGGAATTAAGGCAGGACAGCACCCCAAATTTGGGACTGTTCCACGGTTGGGGGGCATGCAATGAAGTGGTCTGGGTGCCGTGCTCCCTCCCTCCCCTCCCTCACTCAGACAGCCACTAAAGGTGCTTCCAAAGAAATAGCAGAGTAAAACTCTCACAGACACCATTGGATTGGCACTATCTGATGGAACAGCATTGGATTGACTTAGATCATCAATCTTGATGATCTCAGTCAATGAGGCGGAACCAGATGCGGAGACCAGCGCTGCAAGGAAGAAAAGGTAAGTACATTTTGTTTCTCCCAATAGGTGGGGGCCGCTCACCCTGAAGAGCTACCAGGGTACTATAGCGTTAGGAATACAGATTTGTAATACTCACTTGGATGATACTGTTTTACACTATCAAAGGGCAGCAACTTAGTCTGAATCTGCTGATCTTTGCTATTGTCTTACTTCACTTGCTAATGTTGTTACCGTGTTTTGCTGCTCCAGTAAATTGCATAAGCATTTCTAAATCTGTGATTCAATGCTTGTAATTTCAATAATACGCCTTTGGAATCATCAGAGCCAAGGGGTACAAAATATAACTGCATCTTTCTGTTGTTTTTACATTCTAATATTTAGCTTTAGTTCATGGGGCTATCTATGCTCAAATATGAGAATGATTAATGACTGCAATATTGCTGCTTAGCAAATATGCTTTTCAAGCACAACTCATGTTATTACTATTATACATAGTACAAATTGCAATGCCATTTACCCTTTTAGTGCTAGAGGAGTAAGCATTGCATGCCTCAACAAAGAGTTAATACGATTACACAGCATTGTCAAATGAGATTTACTAGACATATCCTAACATTACATTCATTTATTACCTATACATCTCATGTGGTGTGTGCAACGTTACTCCATATGTGATGCCAATTTTGATCAGCAAACTACCTACAGTATCACCACTATTGAAGATGTTTGAAGCACACTGAATGACATATTTAGATTAGTGCTTGAAGGTATCTGAAAATATCCCTTGTGGCTCACTGCTCATGTCAGTGTTTACGGCTAAATCCGTCACACATTTTCCATTTATTATCCTGCTACTATGTATTAAGTTACGTGTAGTTTTTGGAATCTTTTTTTTTTCCACACAGTTCGCATTGTTCTTATAATAAAGCGTAGAATCCCATCAAGTGTCTACTTATTGGGGTTTTGTGTATATTCATAACAATGTTATGGCGTATCCTTCTTAAAAATTGTACCTTTTCAGCATTAATATGTTTTAAAGTATCATTGTGTATCATTCTTAAAGGGTTTCTTCAACTGCCATAACCACTTGTGCTTTTAGAAGTGGTCATGGTGGTATGAGTCTGTAAATAAATGTTTCACCTTGAAAAGCCGCACATTCAGAGAAATATGCAATTTTGTGCAGGGGGCTAGTATTCCTCCCCCTCCCGCCCCCCCTTCCCTCGGAACTCTATTTTGGGCTGCCTAATTTCCATTCTGTGCAAATTTTACATCTATCGTCAGTTTGCAAAGCACAGTCCAGACATAAAGAAGCATTTATCTTCCGTCTTTAATTTAAGCACTCCGTGCCTCCTATACCCTCCATTCATTTTTTTTAGATACTCCCTCCCTCTTTCACCCTCCACTCCTTCCCCTTACCAGCTCAGTGCGCATGCATGCACTCTGAGCCAAATAAACAGTCCAATCAAATGCTTCTCTATAATAAGCGTTTAATTGGACCTTGCTACGGCTCTGGTGGTATCAGACAGGAAATGGAGAGCAGCACTTGGATCTTCATCAAGTACTTCATCATTTTTTACAGTTATGTGGGTTACGTTAAGAATTATGCCTAATAGGGCATTATGATTCTTTAAAAAAAATGGTTGAAGGTCCTTGTATTGGCATTCTGTAGCCTGGCAGCATGTTTACCCTAGCAGCATCTGCAGGCTGGTTAATTTAAGCTTTCAAAACTCTTTTAATTTTACCGCTCTGTTGTTCTACATGTAGTGATTATGATTGTGCATTGAGTACATCAGATTTAATGGAGGAGATTTATCAAGGTGTTCAGATTTTTTTGATAAATAATCTGTTTGAATTTATTAAATTATTCTAAAAATGGTATAAAAAAAGTGTCAGCTTTTCTCTGTCCTTTTTCAAAAATTTAGATTAGTGGAAAAAAAGTGAAATGAAACAAAACTGAATAAATTAAAAAAAGATAGGGCACAAAGGAGGCATCTGATGAAAAAAAAAATCCAGACGGCTTTAAAGGACCACTCCACACACAAAAAATACTTCATCTTGCTTATTGTCTGAAGTCTGTACTTTTCTCGACAGTTTATAAAAGTGCTGATTTCAATAGAAATTGGCCTTTATACAATTGGGGCCAGAAACACCTCCCAGGAAGGTGTTTTTCCACTTCCATAGAACTTCAAGTCCCACTAATATCAGGCAGCTCTGGAACACGCATGAGCTGGTTCAGCTAGAGATCATGGGTCCCCTTACTGCATAGTAACAGAGAAAACTCTACTATGTACTATGTGTACCTTGCAGCCATTTTAAAACATCATCTACTGAATTAATGGGAAGATCATGTACATACATAGACACAAATGCACATTTGTATACATAATTGATTTTTGTCTTTTTGGTAATCGAGTCACAACTCAAAATTGCAAAAGTAGACCTTTCAATTCCAACCAAAAAATAATAAACTTGATAAGGTTAAGAAATCAATATTAGTGTTAGTATAAATGACGAGTGAATATATTTTAGGAGCAGATGGTGGGAATAAGCAGGTTATCAGCCCCCCCGCCCCTATTGCTCCTCTCCTGCAACTGTCAAAAATAACCTACTAAGTTCTCAGTAATTACTTTTCTAGCAACTTAATTCATTACCTCTACTTATACCCTTTATGTCACTATACCCCGCTCCCTCTAGCATGTAAGCTCATTGAGCAGGGCCCTCAACCCCACTGTTCCTGTGCGTCCATTTGTCTGGTTACAATTACGTCTGTAAGTCCACTCACTGTCTGGCGCTATGGAATTTGCTGGTGCTATATAAATAATAAAATAATAATAAAACTGGAAATGGGGGGCGGAGCCAAGCAGGCAAGCAGTCCAGACGTGCCTCGCCAGAGCTCCCGCGTCTGGAGGGGAAAACCGGGGTACAGCGCCCGAACACTACACCCCACAGACTACTGCACACCATACCTCGTGTCAGGAGGGGCTACCGACTAAAACGGTGCCTCTCACGACCCCCTGCACAGCCGTTCTGACACGACGAGGCTTGCGGCCTACCTGAGAACGGACCACGGAGAGACGGCCGCTCTCCGGGGCATTAGCTGTAACAGGTGCCGCGGCAAGGAACTCTCTCTCCCCCCCCCCCTTCCGGCGGGGGTCATCCCGGTCATCAAGCAGCTCGACTCACCTGAACATCCCCACAGGACAGCTAACGCTGCACGCATTACCAAGCTATGGATACCAAGATGGCGGCAGCTGCCCTCGAGCAGGAGACAGATGAGCGGCACAAATCGTTGGAACAGCGACTGGATGACTTGATCCAGAGATTCTGGCGCAAAATCACACACAAAGCCGACCACCACAAACAGGTACAGCGGAGACACCCACCCACAGGGGGTAGCCATCAACAAGGGGAGCCCCCCGGGTCAAAACGAAAGCCAAGCACTAAACACGTGGCAGGGCCCGCCATTGCTACCAGGCGCGCCACACCAAAGACCCCACGAGGCCCCAGGAGGGCAGATAAGCCAGGCCAGCCGCGGAGACCCTCCCCCCCCCAAGGGAGCAAACAACCTTCCACAGCCAAGCACAGCACAAATGGCACATACATGCCCTGAGAAAGGAAAAACCGAGGCGCCCACTGGGTGTAAAACACCAAGACCACCCACGACTCCACCTAACCCAGCGACCAAACACTGGGACAGCAACACCGATCATCCTCACAAGCAAGCAATCACCCACAACTGCTTCCCACAGGCCGCAGCCCCGGGACGCATGGAAGCAACCCCCAGCGACACCACCGGCGGAAACGCTCAAACCGACCTCACGCAAGGGCATTGGCTAAACGAACCTACCTGGACTATTCATACAGCCCCAGGCACACCATACGTGGACATAAGCACGCCTAAATAACTGTACATGTGGCTGAATTTGAACACACAGACCTAAGGGGTTAGATAATAACTATTGAGCACCTGTTTTATGTCATATTCATAATTTAAAGTTTACAGCTATAGAGCCCTGTTTAACAGATTGTTTCAGTTTATTTTACTACGCAAGGGCTTTAGCTTAAACGTCTCTGACACCTCTAGGCTACACATATGGGCCATAACGCCCCCCCAGTGGCAGATTTTGTACCGCACTGTCGTAAATGCTTTGAGGAGAACTTAAACTAACTAAATGTAACCTAAATCTCAATTCACAGTTAAACCCAGCCTGTATTACTCAGTTAGACTGTTACCTAAGAATGAACAACCGTTTAATCAACCAACATAACTTTCTTTATGATGTTAAACATGCTTCTGTTACACGACATATTAACACTATTACACAAAAATGAGGCATCATTACTCAGGAAATGTAAATGACCAAAACTATAGATGTACTGACCCTTCATTATAAACCGTTATTGCATTTCCCTCTCTTTGTTTCTGTACCCCATCTAATATGCTTCAATAAAAGAAAGATTGACAAAAAAAAAACAAAAAACTGGAAATGGGACAGAGGGAGAGTTTACGGTCTGTCATAAAATAATAAACATGCACTTCAAGCAATGTTTGGGAGAATAAAAGGATTCATTACCCTGTGTGAAGGAAAGAGTTAACATTTTTATTTGCACAGTGCTCTGGAGATAAACAACAAGATTTATTGCACTGCTAAGACCTTGGTTGGTAAATCTTATCAGGGTTATGGTGAATTTTATGGCAAGGAGGACAGGAGGCTTCATATTTGCTTATCTTTCTTTATTGAAACTCCCAGCAGCAAAGAAGTAGTTAACAAAAGTGGTAAAGAATTCAACCAATCAAAACACATAACAAAAGTATATACAGCCATCAGACTCCTCCCACTTCCTCTTTCTTTGCTGCTTGCTTCCCAGGTGAGTCTACTCTAATTACGTTACCTTGTTTCATTACTTGAATTTTAACCTTTTCACTTTATTGGATATTTTATATATGTTTTTTTCCTATACTGGGGTCCCTCTAATATTTTGTTTATGTTATTCTAAAGAGTAACTCCTTTTCAGGAAGTTTCTTTCATCTGTATTGTTTTTTTCACAACTATACTGTGGTGAAAGTAACCTCGCCACTGGGTTTTGGAGAGGCCTGCTTGCCAGCCTCTTGCCCTGTGATTACGGCCCCTGGGGTGTATTGCCTTTTAAAAACACTATTTGTGCATATTGGAACTTAGCACAATGCCCATTTCAAACATGTGGCGGCGGCCATCTTAAATTGTCCATCAGTGTTTTGTCATCGAGTGTATGGATGTCAGGTATACCTAACATTCATGCTGCCGCCGGAACCCACTTCCGGGTTCACGGCGCTTAGCTCCGCCCCTTTTTTCTGACGCGGTCTTTCCACGATACTTAGGAAGACCGCGCCAGATTCAAAGTGCTGGATTATTCACTCAGGTGCGGCAGTGAGATCAGCTGCTCTACTCGATGCTACCGGCTCCACTTCTCAGACCTCGGCTTGTAAACGGATTTCTACCTTCTCATCTCTCAGACCTCGGCTTGTAAACGGATTTCTACCTTCTCATCTCTCAGACCTCGGCTTATAAACGGAATTCTACCTTCTCCTCTCCCAGACCTCGGCTTGTAAACGGATTTCTACCTTCTCCTCTCTCAGACCTCGGCTTGGACAAACGGACTTCCTTTCTCTCACTACTAAACTGCAGTTTGTTAAAAGAGACTCCTTCCTCTTCCTCCATTGGGTGAATTAACCCTTCCAGTGCCAGAGTGCTTCTAAGTTAAGTAAATATTTTGTCAAGGAAAGCAAGTCATATCAATTAATTATAGTATTTAATTTCTTTAAACTCTCTGTTGACAAATAAGGATTGCTGCTAAGGCTAAAACTTCATTATTAAAATTCAAGTTGGAACTAACTTGGCATTTTCCTGATTATTATTTAAAGATACAGTCCACTGATTTCACTCCAATATAATAGGAGGTGAACTTACTGTTCCTGCCCTCAGAAAATTCTGCAGTTGAGTTCCAATTAAAGAGGTATTACACAAAAGCATCACAGAATAATCCAGCCTTTTCAATGGAACCAGAGAAATGTCTTTTTGAAGTTACTGAACTCTCCTTTCTTGGATACATTATTTCACCTCATTCTCTGAAAATGGATAACTCTAAAATCGAATGTATTATTAACTGGCCCGTTCCTACTACTACAAAAGAATTGCAACGATTTCTTGGATTTGCAAACTTCTATAGAAAATTCATTAGAAACTACTCAGAGGTATCACATCCACTTAACCACCTTAACAGTACTAAACGTCCTTTCAAATGGAATAAAGATGCACAAGCTGCCTTCGACAGTTTAAAAAAAAGATTTACAACTGCACCTATTCTACAGCTACCTAATCCAACATTCTTGTATGTCCTAGAAGTCGATGCATCAGATTCAGCTATCAGAGCAGTTCTTTCTCAGCAAAAGACTCCTCAAGATCCACTTCATCCAGTCGCATTCTTTTCAAGATCCCTGAGCTCTGCTGAAAAAATTATCCTATTGGTGAAAAGGAATTATTAAGTGTTAAAGCTGCCTTTGAAAATTGGCGCCATCTATTAGAAGATACAAAACAACCTATCATAGTCTATACAGACCATAAAAATCTTGAATATCTTTATACTAATAAAACCCTTACGGCTAGACAAGTTAGATGGAACCTATTTTTAACCGGTTTAACTTCCAATTAATATACAGACCTGGAACTAGAAATAAAAAGGCTGACGCTCTTTCTCGAATTCCTTCTAAAACTTCTATTGATGTTTATCCTCCTAACAAAATAATAGGGATCCTCTCTTCTCTTCAGGATGACTTAAGGAACTTGAATCAAAAGGATCTTGAACTTCCCAAAACACCTAATTTAACAAAAAAGGATGGTATATTTTACTTTAAAAATAGAATTTATATTCCTCCCATTCTTAGGAACAAATTACTCAAAATGGTTCATGATTCACCCCTAGCTGGACATCCTGGAATAAAGAAAACTCTTGAACTAACTTCACGATATTATTGGTGGCCTCGCCAAGATAGAACCATTGAATTATATGTCAAAACTTGTCCTATCTGTCAAAGGTCCAAATCTGAACATAATCAACCTTTTGGATTACTACTTAACTTACCTATTCCAGAAAAACCTTGGCAATCCATTTCTATGGATTTTCTTGTTGACCTTCCTCCATCCCGACAGTTCACCACTATTCTTGTTGTTGTGGACCGCTTCACTAAAATGTCCCATTTCATCTCTTTAAAAAAATTACCCTCCTCCGTAGAATTGTCCAAAGTCTTTATTGATAATATTGTAAAGCTTCATGGTCTTCCAGAAGAAATTATTTCTGATAGGGGGACACAATTTACCTCCAAATTCTGGAAAGAGATGTGTCTCTCTCTTCAAATTCAACGCAAACTCTCTTCTGCCTATCATCCCCAAACTAATGGGCAAACAGAGAGAGTTAATCAATGTTTGGAACAATATCTCCGATGTTATTGTTCATACCTGCAAGATGACTGGACCACTTGGTTACCTATGGCTGAATTTTCTTACAATAATACCATTCATTCTAGTACGAAAATGACTCCTTTTTTCTCCAACTATGGTTTTCATCCGTCCTCATTTCCCATCCCATCTAATTCTTCATCCAATCCCATGGTTACTTCAAAAAATGAATTTATGTCTTCTCTATTCCTTAAATTACGGGAGAATCTTCAACTCGCCCAAAACTACCAGAAAAAGTTTTTTGACCATAATAGAAGAATTCCCCCTCCTTATAAAGTGGGGGATCTTGTCTGGCTCTCTTCAAAAAATATTACCACAAACCGTCCTTCAAAGAAATTGAGCTCTCTTTTTCTTGGTCCTTTTCAAATAACTACAATCATCAATGATAACGTTGTTAAATTAAAACTTCCTCCAAGTTTTAAACTTCATCCAGTATTCCATGTCTCTTTGCTTAAACCACACATCCCTGATCCTTTCCATAGAGAAATAGTAACAACTCCTGAACCTATCATCGTCCAAGGTGAAGAAGAATATGAAATTCATAAGATTTTGGATTCTCGTATCCACCGTGGCTCTTTACAATACCTTATCAGATGGAAAGGTTATGGAGTTGATGAAGATACCTGGGAAGATTCATCTAATGTTCATGCAAAGAGATTAGTTGATGCTTTTCACAAACGCTACCCCTCTAAACCGAAATAAGTGCACCCAGAGGATGCCCCATGAGAAGGGGGTACTGTCAGGTATACCTAACATTCATGCTGCCGCCGGAACCCACTTCCGGGTTCACGGCGCTTAGCTCCGCCCTTTTTTCTGACGCGGTCTTTCCACGATACTTAGGAAGACCGCGCCAGATTCAAAGTGCTGGATTATTCACTCAGGTGCGGCAGTGAGATCAGCTGCTCTACTCGATGCTACCGGCTCCACTTCTCAGACCTCGGCTTGTAAACGGATTTCTACCTTCTCATCTCTCAGACCTCGGCTTGTAAACGGATTTCTACCTTCTCCTCTCAGACCTCGGCTTATAAACGGAATTCTACCTTCTCCTCTCCCAGACCTCGGCTTGTAAACGGATTTCTACCTTCTCCTCTCTCAGACCTCGGCTTGGACAAACGGACTTCCTTTCTCTCACTACTAAACTGCAGTTTGTTAAAAGAGACTCCTTCCTCTTCCTCCATTGGGTGAATTAACCCTTCCAGTGCCAGAGTGCTTCTAAGTTAAGTAAATCTTTTGTCAAGGAAAGCAAGTCATATCAATTAATTATAGTATTTAATTTCTTTAAACTCTCTGTTGACAAATAAGGATTGCTGCTAAGGCTAAAACTTCATTATTAAAATTCAAGTTGGAACTAACTTGGCATTTTCCTGATTATTATTTAAAGATACAGTCCACTGATTTCACTCCAATATAAT